CAGCTAATACAGGGCTTTTTCTTGAGCAAGGCTGTCACTGAATACATGAATGACTCTGGCAAATGGGAAAAGTGGAGCCAAATGCCTTTTGCCTCCTTCTCATCTTTCTCTCCACTCAAAAATGGGTTTTACTTGACTTAACCTGTACATGTCTAATTTTCTCTAAATCCTAAATTTCACGGAAGAATGTAACTCTTTATTAGGAGATGAACAATAATGATAGGGTGAAATATATTAGTGGAATACTTTTGCCTTTCACAATGACACAGACACAGTGTTGGTCTTTCTGCATTGACAAATGGAATGCACCAGCTGGCAGTGCTACTAGGAGCTGAAAAATACACATAAAGTAGTAAGGTAAGGCTGGCCTCAACAGCCAGCCAGCAAGTATTTCTGTGCAAATAAATTAAATAATACCATAGCATATAATAGACCACTGTGAAGGTCAAGGATTCCTGTTCTTCATTGACTTGCAGGTGCACAAATATTTTTCTAAATAGTGCCAGCGGATAACCTGGCATTGACAAGGATATCCTCTCAGATACACACCAGACAAATATTCCTAACCATTCTCACTGTATAGCAGATCTCCTTGTAGATAATTTGCAGATCTATTTTCTTTAATTATATGAGAGTGAAAAACTGTTAAGCCTCTACATTTTCTGAAAATGTTGGCATTCTTTGGGAAACTACTCTAACATTATCCTTCTGTCAAAAGATTCTTATCTTTTTGTGGGACATATATGGCCAAGCATCTCATGAAGTATGATGAAAATAAATATTTAATATGATTTTGTCCTATCTACTGTAATAATTCATAATGCTGTCTGCAAAGTGATAGCATCATATTTAGAACAAACGAAATCCCTCTCAGGCATCTTTCTGCTCTGGATGAGCTGGAGGCTAAAATGGCTATACCCTGCATAAATTAGGGAAGCCAGAACAATATTTTTATTTATGATGGCTGATACAGTCTATGAGCCTCAGATTCCCAGAGAACAATGTGGATGAGTTGAGTTCTCACTGGGTGTGTCTCCGCTTGCATTAATGCACTGTTACTACTGCAGATTAAGTTTAGTACCTGTAATAACAGGTAGTAACTAAATACACAGTAGCTGACTCTATTGTGCAGTAGAGCCAGTGCATGGTCTTCTGGTGATGCTTAATGCACATTAGACTAATGCTTTTGCCATGACATACTAATGCACGGTAGAAGTAGTCTATTGCACATCTAGTGTCTTGTGTAGATGTGCCAGTTGAAGACATATTTGGGTTTAATATGGTAGGGTTAGCAAACTTTTTGTGTTGTTTTTTTGTCCTTGAAGAACTCTTTTCACTGAAAAGAATCTAACAATACAAGGATGAAACAAAACTATTGTATATGATGTATTGCATTATCATGAAAATCAGTTGGAAATCAGACATTAAAGATATTCAGGGTCTTCTTACATTTGAGTAAATATGGTACGTGCTGTTCCTAAATAGCAGAGCTGTCCAACTTGTAAGTAGGGACTGCACGTCCCCTCGGCTACACCTTTGTCATCCATGGGCCCTCTGGGCTGCACACCATGCCCCACTCCTCCCCGTGCCTTGTTGTACCACTCATGGGGAGCCCTGGGCTCAACCTTAGCTAGTCAACCACAGGCGCTCCTGCTGCACTGCATGGGTTTCATAGTTTCATAGTTTCTAGGGTCGGAAGGGACCTGAGCAGATCATTTATTCTGACCCCCTGCCATGGCAGGAAAGAGTACTGGGGTCAA